GTTGTAAAACATATAAGTGATAGCAAGTTTAGGAGTAGTGTACGTGTTGTATATGAATTATATAGAATTTTCAAACTCTCACATTATACTTTAAAGGATGTTAATAATATACTTTTTAGTACACTATTTTTAGTACACTTTTAGTTATTTACTAATATTTATTAAAAACTATAAAAATATAAGAGTGAAACATTAAAGAGTTTTGTTAACTTCAACTCTCATAATAAATATAAAGATTTTTATAAACAAAATACATATTTATTACATTAAAAACACAAAAGTACAATAAATACTTCTTTTTATTAAAATCTTATTATTTTTAGTCATTTATTCTTTCTAAAGGTTTAAATTAATATTTTTTTAATATTAAATTAAGAAAAAAATATTCACATAATTTTTATAATTTTTAATAAATTTTAAGTAATAGTTAAAAGTGATTAAAGAATATATTGCTAGTATTTTTTATATTTGCGATAAATTTATTAATTTGAAAGCCAATTGATTACTGTTGTCTCGACACTATTTATTTTTTAAAAAATAGATGAAAAGCTTTCGAAGTTTCATGAACCCAACCAAAGAACCATTGGTTTTTATTGATTTTTCCTGTCTTGGATTGGTTTTGAAGCTAGCTAATGTAATGAGTATTTTGTACCAACCATCAAGTTGGTTCCAATTGAATTGGCTAGTCTAGTCTGTTATCACAACATTGCTAATAACACTTTTGAATACACTTTTAAAAAATATACTACTTTTTAAAACTATGTTGAAGGAAATATTTAATATTCTTTTCTAACACATTTGGTGACTACATAAGCCTTACAATGCTACTTCAAAAATTGGATAAAAGAAAAAAAAAATCATTAAAGGCTACGGAGAGAAGTACAAAAACAATTGGAAACAATTCGATTTAGAGGGTAAAAAAAAAAAGGCAAAAGAAAAGCATTCGTCAGTTGAACAAAGTATAGGGATGCAACCATTGTTAATTAAGGGTGTACTAAAATATATAACTTATTTAAATATTTTATTTAATAAACTATTTTTAAATAATGAAATTTTTATAAATTTAACAAAGAAATTGATTAAATATCAATTTAATAAGTTATATCACCAAACTTATTGAAATTAGTTGAAAAGAGCTTACAAGAGTCATAAATGTATAAGAAGTCCATAGATATTCGTCAACTTCTATTTTATAAACATAGGGATGGTCACATTCCATTAAATATTCAATGAAGTGACATAAGTTGAATTTACTCTTCTAAAACAGGTAGCATAGCTTTAATCCTGAAATTCTAGTTCACTAATTCTATCATGACCCGGATAGAACTAATGCCAAAAAGTACAAAATTAGAGTGTGTAAAAGGTAAAAAAATTTGGAGTGTAATAATAATAACAATGTAATAATAATAATTTTTACTAAAATTGTACAATTTTTTTAATTTCTATAAATGAAAGACTAAATCACTAAAACTAAAAAAAAATATTTATATTTTTATTAAATAGTGTAGTTAACATATTTCAAATTTATCTTATATTTTTTATACGTAAGAGACTATTAAGTGTCATCCCTACCCATTGTACATTATTGTTGTAATGTTGCTGCTAAGTGTTTTCTTTTTTGTTCTTAGATTTCTCTCTCCTCCCCATTCTCATTCTTGCTTATTTGTTTTTGCATGGGAGATCATAAATTTGAACACATCTCCATCAAACCTGATTAACTGACTCCAGTTATTTGCTACTGAGGGGTCATGCAGTAAAAAATGGTCCAACTTTTAGTATTCTCAATTTGCTTCATTTTGAAGTTTTTGAAATAAATTCGACCGATTCACACTCGTTCTAATTCTAAATGAGTAATGCTATTTAGACACCCGTTTTAGATGTTTGTACATGACACCATATAGGAAAAGAAATCAAGTATTAGATTGCACCAAACTTATCCTACACACGCGCACAGGTTACCAAACCTCGTAACCTTATAAAAAAAAAGTTTTCCTTCACTCCCGCCATCTCCTTCCTCTAGTCAAACTACATGTTCTTCAAGTAACTTCTTCTTCACGTTACTTTCGAGCTAGGCTGTATATTTGGCTGTGTGACTTCTGCTCTCCACTTCTCCTCTCACGTCTACACGAGAAAAATAAAGTTGTTCTTCACTCTTGCCATGTTCTTTTTCTGTTAAAAGTAGATCTTCTTCATGTGACTTCTTCTTCACGTTACTTTCGTGCTAGCCTGTGGATTACTCTGTGTGAGTTCTGCTCTCCTACTTTTAATCTCATGGATACATGAGTCCTATCAAAGCTAGTACATTACAAATTTGACACCCAGCCTCTTGCATTTAAACTGAATAGTTTTTGGTAAGTCAGTCTTCTTTAAGCTCATGCACAACACCCTCTGTTTTATAAAAGTTTAATTTTTTTTTCTATATTGTATGTTTTTTGCAGGTGGTAGATTGAACGTTTAAAGCATATGGAGGTGTAAAGGTTTATTGAAGAGGAATCACAGATGCATGACAAGCAAAATGTTATTGAAGCCGTTAGTGAGGTTGGTAGTATGGATGATAGCTGTGATAACTCTGACAATGTTGAGCCAACTATTGGAATGGAGTTTGATGATGTTAAAATTATTAAAGCATTTTACAAGAACTATTCAACTAAAGTGGGTTTTGGATGGAAGATTAGAAATTCAAAAAAAGGGGTCAGATGGAAAGTTGAATTATTTGATTCGTGCATCTATACGAGAAGGAAAAAGTTGTTCAAAGGTAGCAATAACTTTGAAGATACTTCCCAGTGTAGCAACAACTTTGAAGATACTTCCCAGTGTAGCTGTCAAATGTGAAGCAAAGATTATAGCAAAGAAAGGGTGATCTGGAAAGTGGTCTATAAAAACAGTTGTTCTTAATCATTCCTATAGAGTGAGTCCTTCGAAAGCAAGAATGTTTTAAAAAAATAAGAATATTAGCATGCATGTGAGAAGAACTCTTGAATTACATAGTGAGGCAGGGGTGAGGATAAACAAGACTTTTCAAACCCTTGTTCATGATGTTGGTGGACATGATAATTTGCCATTTGTAGAAAAAGATGTCAGAAACTATATTAACAAGGAAAGACGTTTAATTGCAAAGGAAGCAAACTCCAAAGCTTTGGTGGATTATTTTTATAGGATGAAGGAACAAAATAGTCAATTCTAGTATGATATTGATGTTGATGAGAAGTTTCGCATCAGAAATATATTTTGGACAGATGCTAGAAGTCGAGCTGCATATGAATCTTTTGGAGATATTGTTAGCTTTGATACAACCTACCTAACAAACAAGTATGACATGTCGTTTGCTACTTTTGTTGGTGTAAATCACCATGGTAAATCAGTTTTACTTGGTTGTAGCTTAATATCAACAGAAGATATTAAAACATTTGTTTGACTTTTCAATTGTTAGGTAAGATGTATGTCTAGGAAGCCATCAAATGGGATTGTGACTGACCAATGCAAGGCTATGCAAAATGTTATTACAATAGTTTTGCCCGATACTCGACACAAATGGAGTTTGACATATCATGAAAAAAATCCCTGAAAAACTTAAGGGATATGCTGCGTATAAACAAATTAAATCAGCAATGAAAAATGTTGTTTATAATACTCTAACGAAGGATGATTTTGAATTGAAATGGTATTCTTTCTTGAAGAAGTATGATGTTGAAAAAAATGAATGGTTGCGTGGACTGTTCAATGAACGCCATAGATGAGTTCCAATCTTTTTAAAACAAAATTTCTGGGCAGGATTATCTACTATACAAAGAAGTGAAAGCATTCACGCCTTTTCTGATGGATATCTGAACTCAAAGACAAGCTTACAACAATTTGTGAAGCAATATAACAATGCACTAAGGAGCAATGAAAAGAAAGATGTCGAAATGCAAGAAGGTTGTGAGAAAGTATAAGAAGCAATGCATCGAATCAAGTGAAAAGTTGTTGATTGAGATGATGTTATTTTGATATATATTTTTACATGTGTATTAAACTGTAATTCTTATACAGAGAGTAATACTAATGTCATTTCTCATTCTTGCAATGTGTAGAAATCGTTTGGTGGAACTGTTATCAAGTAGTATGAAAGATACTTGTGCATTGAGTCGTCAGGAAAGATTGTGAGTCATGCAATAATAATAATTATGTACTATATATATGCACCAAGTTAAGGTTATACAATACTAACGGGTCATGCGAGAAAAAACGGTCCAACTTTTAGTATTCTTAATTTGCTTCATTTTGAAGTTTTTTGAATTAATCCCAACTGATTCATACTCGTTCTAATTCTAAATTTGTTCTTTTCACCAAATCCAATTCAATGACAGTAAAATACTAATATTAATATGTTCTCACTAATCCATTCAAATAAAGATCTCGAATAAAGCATGACCTGGAAAAAAAAAAAAAAACACTAGAGTTCTATCGTCAAGATCACTATTCTTTATTTTTCAACTATTTCTGTTGATTAAAAAAAAAAAAAAAAAAAGAGCCCATTCGTATTGTATTTAAAACTTATTGACCCAAGACCTAAACCAAATCTATCTAATTCTAGTGTAGCTAATATACTGAACTACATTGGTTCACATAATATGAAGGAGTGGAATTTTTTAAAATTCCTTTGGTACAAGTAATGTTTTTTTTATCTAAAACCAAACCATATATTATATATTTTTATCACATCAACTACAAAAACTTTAAAAAAAGAATATAACCAAAAAATAATGCATAATATTGTGCTTCTATTGGAAACAAATAGCAATCGAAATACTTAAAATTTTATTCAAATTTTCTGAAGTAAAAATTTTCTCTTTTACTTTATTTAACCACAATCGTGAATGTAAATGTAGTGGAAATATATTTTGGGAACAAACCTTTATGTTAGTAAATATTTTCACTTCTTTTATAACTAGATAAAAATGTCAAAATTAATATGAAGTGTAAGATTTCTGGTTCCTTCTATAATTCCACTGGGTTTTAAAAACTGTAAAGTAATACTTGATTAGGAAGAATTGCGTCAGAAATATTTTAGACGCACGACCTAGGAAAAATACTCAATTTTAACTGTTTAAATGTTCGCATCTGGGCATCCAAAGATTTCTGAATCTGACAATCTCTGGTTACCCTGATGCCAGTGGTGTTGAATATGGATTGCAAAATCAGATAATTGAAGCAGAAAGAGCAACTAGCAACTTATCAGTAATCATCATCATTATAATTGTAACCATGATCCTCAGGGAAATAGTTTCCATTCATATTTTCAGTATTCCACGCATTTTCATACATCTCCCCCATATCACCTTCACCTTCATCTTCAAATTCATCCACTAATCCCTTCTCATCATCATTTTTGTCCTCAACCTTGGACTGTAAATTGGTATCACCAAGGGGTAGATCAAATTGTACTTTCTTCGGTTTCTTGAAATTATTCACATCTGCCTGTGTAGGATAATATTGGAAGAACATTTAAATAGATGAAAAGGAAGTAATTTCCAAAGTCTTGATTTAAAGAATAATACAGGATAATTGTCAGAAAACATCTTTGCAAGTTTTTGTTTTAAACATTTGGAGCAAGGAGCTACAACTAACTAGTGATTGTACAAAAGAAATGTTAAATTATGCAATAAAGCAAGAAAGAGAACTCAGGGTCACATAAAGCAAAATCATGCAATAGCTGTAGCAACTTAGAAATCTCTTAAAACCTATTTACCACCATATATTGCTGAGTGCATATAATCGTAACAAGTTTCAGCGCACAACTTCCAAAATTTATCCAAAGAGGTGAAAGAAAAAAAGAATTAACATTTCCTTTATCCAACAAATAAAAAAAGAAAGAAAAAGGGGAAAACAAATAGATTAACCAAGTAGACATGAATATGCAAAGGTGCAAAGCATCCTCCTTTAGGGTTGTAATGTCGTTGAAACTTTCAACACACAAGAAACAGAGTCATAGCAATAAGATTGTTGATCTGCTTTAACTTTTAAGTATCTTTAACAATTGATATCCAAAAAATGACCATATTTAAATAATGGACATTTCAGTTCAAGAGAGATACATTTCAAATATTATTTGTTATTTGCTTTTTCTTTCGTGATTAACTGTATCAGAGTCTATACAATATTACATGTAATAAAAAGCAAAACAGTTCAAGAGTGAATTACCGGTTCATTAAATAATTCACCCAGGCGATCATAATTGACTTTGGAGCTGAGCCTCTGCAAATAATACAATTAAACAAGTATCATTAGCAATATAAAAACAATTTCAGAACGTAAAATAACTAACATGAATCATATATTGTTCAAGGACTTGACAGCTAAAGCAGAGCGTACATAATTAAACATAAATCATAGAGAATTTGTGGATGCTACCTACCTCCTCCCCATCCAAAAAGCAGGCAACAAAGAAGAAGCCTAAAACCCGAGTGCATAGTGCACACAAGTTTGGTGTATTATACATTAGAATTGAAATTCCAAGTTCATGGAATTGAAAAATTAAGTAGGTTATATTATATTGAATTATCAGCCTGGACCCTAAGAATTACAATTCCAGCAAAGATAAAACTAAAAATTAATACTTCTTATTGTTCATTATCTCTGTCATTCCCACAAAAAACCATTGCCATTGGCAAACTTTAGCAACCATTGTGCCTGCCTGAAAGGCTTCTGACCACTGTTTTTATTGGCATTGTTTGGCCACACTTTCTGACAACATCCACGGATCATTGTCAATACTGCCATCTGCCAACCTCCGTTGCCACCAGTAGCCTCTAATCATCATTAGCATAGGCATTCTCTAACTGCAGCCAACATCCTCCTACCAATATTACCACTAATGTTCGTGAACCACCTTGTACCCTCCGTCTATTGACAACCAATACCAGTACCCTCTACCGCATCCATTTTACTCCAACCACTGTCACTGACAGCATTCTCTAATCACCCCATTTCTAGTGTTGGCCAATAGACTCCAAATCAATTCAGAATTGTGATTCTATATCTCAATTTTTTATTTGTGCAACCCTACAAATCAAAATTCTTAATCGTGACTTTGTCAGAAAAGGATAAATTCAAATTCCAAATTATAATCCTATTGTCCAAATGGACCTCAGAGAGCAAAACTAAAAGACCACACTAGCTCCATTTTCCTCTTTTATTCCAAAATTTACTTCAGTTTGCGTTTTCTGTTTCAATCTTTGGATCTTCTTACAACAGCTTACCTTTTGACTTCCTTTCTACCCATCTGTTCTGGATTGATACAAGGTCCTGGCCAAACAGTGGCAGAGCCAAGTTGTGTGGATCCAGCAGATGACCAGCTGTAGCAGGCCTAGTTGCCTGCTCCACCAGGTAGTCATCTGCCCAATGACAATCCAGCCAGTCATGAATCCACATCTTTGATACTAGCACCATACTTTTGACTTTTGAGAACCTTGGCCTACAGGTAATCCATGATGTCACAATACCCTAAGTCATAAAGATCACATTCAGTATCACTTGTAAGTTGCATGGGACCTCCTACAAGCATATGCCCTGAATGCTCCTCAAGTAAACACTGCCAATAATCACTCATACCCTCCACATGGTCAATAACTTACTTTGGAGTCAAATTGTCTGTTAAATATATGTAAATATGCTATTTAGGAAAATAGTATCTGTATAATTATAGTAATTAGATAATTGTATATTTGTTCCTGATTATGTAGCTATGATTGTGATTACCGTTGTTAATATAAATACACAGCTTGTGTTTCAGTTGAAACACACAAAATTTATCACATGTTTTGTTGTTTTCTCTCATCTTAACGTGGTATCAAGAGCCTAATAAGGAGGTAATCCTAAATGTGCTTTCCTTGTGAGCCCACTGCTCATAGGTGTCGGTTTATTTTTAGAAACCATGAGTGTCTTCGGTTTCTGGTTTTTTTCCAGCAGCCACCTCCACCGGCCAGCTTTGTTCACCACCCGTGACTTTTCTGGCATGTTTTCTAACTGGCTTCTCACCAACACCAGACTCGCCCCATCGATTGTGAGTCATATGGATTTTATCAACTTCAACCCATCACTCATGCTGGTTCAGTGGTGGATTCACCTCTTCTTTTGGATGCTAGGTTGGGTCATCCCAGTCTTCAGAAATTACAACTATTGGTTCCTAGTCTCTCAGTTATCTACACTTTCTTATGAGTCATGTCAACTAATAAAACATGTCTGTAGTTCATTTCTGAGTCGTGAAAATAAGCTAATTTGGTTTATTCTGATGTTTGGGGTTCTAGTTGTTCTGTCTTTACTTTTTTTGGTATTTTGTCACCTTTATTGATGATTATTTCTGTTGTATATGGTTGTTTTTAATCAAAGATTGTTCTGAATTTTCTATTTTTCAAAGTTTTTTTTTCATGAAATTGAAGTTCAATTTAGTCTTTCCATTCTCACTTTACATAGAGATAACACTAAGGACTACTTGTCACATTCTTTTCAAAATTTCATGGCATCCAGTGACATACTTCATCAAATTTCTTGTGCTCATACTCCTCAACAAAATGAGGTTATTAAAAGGAAAAATAGACACTTTATTGATACTACTTGAACTCTACTCTTACATAGTAGAGTGTTACCTAATGAATTGGTTGCCTTCTATTCTTAATAATAAGGTACCACACACTATCCTATTTCCTAAACAGTCTTTGCATCCTTTATCTCCCCGCGTGTATGGGTCCACATGTTTTGCCCATAATGTAGGATTATAATTGCTTGAGCTATCTTCAACTCAATAAAACTCAGAGTTCTGTTTTTCCAATTCCTATCAAATATGTAAGTAAGGAGATGACAGATCACAAAGGAAAAGGTGGAAGAAAAACGAGGAAGATGTTAGGGTTTTTTTCGTTTCCACAGAAGCAGAGTTTCCCAAATCTAGAGCTCTAATACAAGCTTGAAAATAGTGGGAACAATAACTTTACTCATTGATTCAAAAGACTGCACATAAAGTTAATATATAGACTTACATACATTAATGTTGAAATATCCTAAATAAGGAAACAAGGAATCTAAATAATAAATAAAACCAAACAAAATACACACAACATATTGTAATATAGACTGCAACAATATCTAAAGAAAATGCATGTTTGTTGTTGAAAAACTTACCTTTGTTCTCAACATTTGGAGAGTGGCCTCTGCAGCAGATTGAGCAGGCCCTGAATTTTTTGCCTCATGAGCACGTCTCTGTTTCATTTCCTGCAGCAGTGTATAACAAACCAAAAGGATCACAAGGTTGTAAGTTTTGCAGTAGTTTCTGCAGCATTAATAATACTATATAGAAAATAAACCATGCATAACTATTGGACCAACTCTACCAAAGCACACCTTTTGAAATTTACATCAAGGAATACTGTCAATAAAATTTGAATTCAATTCATCAACTTCCTAACTCCTTCAAATTTTCCCACAAATTCCAGGCTTCCATTTCATTATCCAGTAGTTTAAACACACATAGTAATACTATAAAATGTCAGGCAGCAGATTCCGTCATATTTCGATAATTTGATCAGTTTTGATATTCAAAATGTTTTTCACTTAATTGTCAACTAAAGAAACAATTAAAAACCAAGTTACCCATACATCAAACCTTGCATCTTCTAAATAACTAGTAACAACTCTTTCTTCACACCAGTACTGATACAAAGACAACCTTGCCTCAGAAACACTACAGTTGCAAACCTTCAATTGTAAACGCAGACCAACATTGGAAAGCATCAATTTATCATGGATGCCTGATTGAAAAATTTACCCTTATAATCAATACAGATGTCTTTTACAATGTACCACCATAGCAGTGACCCTATTTCATTGGATTCAAGCTTAGACAAACTGATTTTTCAGTTGTCATGACCACTTTCTGCATCTACTAGCCTTGATAGTCCCAATTCATATTTCATAACCACTCATTCCAAACTAATACCCATGTTATAGTACAATGAGCAACATTCTAGCACTACTCATAAATTTATAATAACTACCCATTGATTCCATAAAGACTTGAAACACTTGGACCATTAAGTTACTTGTGATATAATTTCACACACAGAGAATCCAACTAAACATTTAAGAAGTACCTTTCTGGATTTTGCCACAGCTGCAGCTGCGGATGCCGCAAGCTCTCTAGCTGCTAGTAAATCCTCCGAACAATTTTCAAAATTTGCCTCAAAAGCTTTCTTAGCAGCTGCAGCTGCAGCTTCCTTGGCTGCTTGCTCCTGAAAGGAAAGGCAAAGCTTGAGTGAGATTCACTGCACAGTTATTTTCCCAATAAGCCTAAAATTAAAAAGCAAAACAGGGGGAAACAAAAGTATATGCAACAAGCACTCACTTCTGAGCTTGAATTTTAAATCATGATAGGAAAAAAAATCTAACCGACTTTATCTAGCACTATTAAAACACGAAAATAGTAACAAATTTCACTGTACCTCTAGATACTCTCGGTTTACTTTTTCCCATATTATCTTCTTGAAATGCTTCTCCTCCTCATTGTGAAGATACCCATCAACCTCTTGATCATCGATATCAGAGAAATTTTCTGATTCTTCTTCATTATACGACTCATCATATTCACCATCTTTAGTGGCCCTGTGCTCAACATCAGCCCCTAAAAGCATTCTTAAGCAAATTAGGAATGAATAACTGTAAACAGATGAATCTAGCACCCTATATTGCGAAAGAAATTTGAGCACCCACCAATACATTCTGGCACATCAGCAGGCAAATCTTCTCTGTGTCTTTCAAACAGGCCATTTGATGCTTCCGACTAACCAAAAGAATCAGTAAAGGAAAAAAGAATTCAAAGTTAGGCTAGTTTATGGCTCTTTTAAAAGTTTCTTTATCAGCACAAATGCAAAATGTTGTATGGAAGAGATGACACAATTGTCTGGAATTAATTTCAGATGCCCATATATATGGCTTCATTGGCTTGAGAAAGGATGGTTTCAAGAAGGATAAATGGTATCTGAATGTTAAAGAATTGGCAACATTTTTGTAAAGCCTTCTAATCTCAGGAGTATTCTTGTAGGAGATGAGTTAATGAAGGGTTAAATTATCATGGTAATGATTAGTCTGTCTGTGAAGATGCATGCAGTAGAAAATTTCTTATTTTATCAAATGGCACATTTCTAAGGCATCTGATACTCTTGCTGGATGCATCCAGCAAAAACTAGAACATCTACGAATCTGATCATTAGTAAAATGTTTGGCACCAGCCTGTTTGTCTCCAGAGTTTGTGGGCATAAATTTTCTTTTCAACTCCAAGATGAAATTCAAAATTAAAGGGAATTAAAAAGGAATTTCTTGAAAATCCTTATATGGATATTTTATTGCCTGGATTTAGTTCTTCATTTGTTTCTTAGACTTTCCAGATTATATCAATTTTAATTAGAAACTTAACTGAAATCAAATAATCAATGCAAATAGTTTTGCTTCTTTGTTTACATTACAAGCACTAGAAAATATGCAGAATCTTTTATTGCACAAAGTTAAAAATTGAAAAAAAAACAAAAAACATGCATACTTGTATAAGGAAATGCAAACTAACAGAAGACCTAGTCAACGAACACTTACATCACATGTTTCATTGACAATTTCCTCGGATGTTTTTTTCATTCTTTCCCTCTCAGCACGCTGGAATGCAGGAGGGTCCAAACCACCACCAAGTCCTCCAGAGAGCTTATCAAACTGTGTATAAAAAGGCTTAATAATGCTATAAATAAACAGTGGATTAAAAAATGCTAAACATCCTATAAGAAAGAAAACTCATCTATAGTCCCATAGACAATCCTAAGCACAGATAAAGAAGGAGGGTTATGCCTAGGTAAAAGAGTAGAGGGAGTCCCAAAAGAACTTCTGAAGAAATTATTCAAAGAAATCTAACAATAAATAATATCTCAAAGAATTTGGTTTTTGACCAAGTTCAATGGCGTTGTGTGATCCATGTAGTTAGACATCACTTAATAGGATAACTTGATAAGGCTTGGTTGTTGTATCCTACAAGAAAGAAATTACTCACATCCTTATAGCATGCTTCACATAATCCAAGAGCAAAATAAGGCACTCCATTATCCTTGTGCTCACACAGTAGATCTTTTGAAGTACAGTCTCTGAATTCACCATTTGGCATTACAATTGGATTTTTTTCATGCTCTTTTGCCATCGTATTCAACTCATCAATCTGTAACCATCATAGATTGATAAAAAAATTCTGTATACTGTCAAATCTAAGATAGTGAATTTTAACTTGAACATATGAAACTTAAAAAGATCAGAATTCACAACATGATGCAGAGCTTTGATAATGCACATATAAAAAGACACCATGATATTAAAGGGAGTCAGAAACATACTGTCAGGCTAGAAGACTCGGTATTCTCAAATTCTACCAATCGTTTGGTCAATGTTGCTTCACATACATGAACAATTCTAAGCTGCATAGCAAATTCGAAAATCAAGAGACACCTAATATAAGAAAATCGAGGACATCAACTAGAAAAGCAATTAGAATACTGAGTGACATCACTGAAATTGCAATATATTATTCAGTGAAAAAACAAATCCATCAACAAATATGTAACTAGTATATGGAGACGATCAACACCATATGTTACTGCAAATATGAGCATTCTCTCTCTTCAAAAACAAAGATGCTTAAATGGAAACAGAATGCAACATTAAAATTCAAAAGAAAGAAAATTATATGCAATTAACAAGTATATCACAGACGCATATGGTACACAGACATAAATCACCCTTGACAAAATTAATAATAGGTGCATGTGATTAGAAAGAACAGAAAAGGGAGAGAGACGATGTTAAGAAACAAATAGGAAAACAGAAAGACAATAGCAATGAGAACTGCCAGAGATTTGGCTGAAATGTTGAGAGGAAGGTGCGGGAGTAGAAAGTTGGAGGAGAAGATTACGGGATTGAGAAGGAAGAGGAACCCTCATTCATGTGAAGATGGCTTGGTTTAGTGTTTAAGTAATGTGAGAATGGAAAATGTAAGCGTAACTCTTCAAAATAAGAGTCATGTGAAATGAGACTTCAGCAAAAAAAACTTAAATAAGGAAATAGTCCCTACAAATATACTTTTTTTTGGAATTAGTCCTTATAAAAAAAATTTGTTGGATTTAGTCTAGCAATTTTTTTAAAAATAATCCTTACTTTTAACTGAGAACAGTTAAATGATGACTAAAATGATTTTCCACATCATTCGCATGGAATGTTAGTTTCAGAAGTGACAAAACTTAAATAAGTAATTAGTCCCTAAAATACATATTTTTGGATCCCTATTAAATTTTTGTGTTGGTTTTAGTCCTGTAAAAATATACTTTTTTGGAATAAGTCCCTCTTTTTTTTTTAGTCATGTAAACTTTTAAATAAGGTAATTTTTTATACCTTTTTGTTTTAGTCCATCATTACATTCAACATTTCAAAGTTTCATAATTCTTCTGCTTTTATTGTTATGAAAACGAAGTCTGTATTCTTATTGTTTAAGATAAAATTGAGTATAATTAGAGTAAGTCTTCCTATCTCACACATAATGGATGAGAACTTCTACGTTATCTAAAAATAGAAATATGGGCTCTAAGTAACACAATAAAGTAACTTTAAGTAAGTATTCCTACCTCACACAGTACAACTTCTAACCATCTTGAAAATTCTCGTTAGAAAATGATATTTTGGCCTCAGATAACACTAACTCATCAAGTATTCCTAAGAAAAAGATTAGGTACAAAATGCTACTAAATTAAGAAATAACAACAGGTTTATTTTAAAAAAATTAAAATTTTAAAGACTAAAACCAAAACAAATTTAATAGGGACTAATTCCAAAAAGACGTATTTTTTAGGGATTAATTACTTACTTAAGCTTTGCTACATCTAAAGAAGTATTCTACATTGCAAGTATGACATAGGACACTGTTTGCTTAGTCATCACTTAATGGCTTTCAGTTAACAGTAAGGACTATTTTCAAGAAATAAAATAAAATTGGAGGACTAACTCCAACAAAAAAAATTTATAAAGACCAATTCCAAAAGAGGATATATTTGTAGGGACTATTTACTTATTTAAGCAACAAAAAAAAAAATGTGACAGAGAGTAGGCTTCAGTACAAAGTAAACTGCCCTATACATCATCTATTAGTGCGCAAAAGATGTCAATAACACTCTTGAATACACTTCTTAATATATTTTGTGATTAGTCATTTTTTTATTAAGTTACATAGGCTTTCTGAAAAATAATATTACAATTTCTAAACTGTGTCGAAGGGAGTGGGTTGCTAACACTCCTCTCGAAAACATTAGGCAACTGCATAAACCATACAATGCTACTTCAGAAATTGGATAAAAGAACAAATATAATAAGAGGCCAGAGAGAAGTACAAGAAACCAATTCACTTTGGTGGTGGGGGGGGGGGGGGGGGGTGGAATTCAATGCGTTACACCTGACCCAACTGATATGGTTCTTGCACCATGCTGTTTCTGAATTTGACCTCAACAAAAGCAAGTTTCACATCCACTTATGCCTTGTTAAATTTCACAACATTAATTACACACACCAGATGAGATTGACATAAAGCAACAAGTCCAAGCTGATCATAGAAAAGCAAATATTCTATTTCTACCTACCAATCTAATATCTAAACAAACAATTATAGTTGTGCTCCTTGTGACTTGTGAGATCATCAAACCCCACATGATTCACACATATAACACAATAAAATTCAGAACTCATGTATGCTTCTGTGATAAGCAAGTTGAACAAGCTTAAAGCTTGAGTTCACATTTTCCAGGACAAAACTTCTAAAAAATTAGCAGCCAGGCACACTATCATCTAAGCCAGTAATCATGTCACCTAATAGAAATTTTAAAATTCTAAATTTCCCAAAATATTGTGGAGAAAAGAACCTGATTTCAATAGCATATGTAATATGAAATTATCGCAATTGCAGGTGATGCCACAAATGGCTATATCTCACTAAATATTAAATGAAATGGTGTAAGTCTGAAACGGGCATAGCACTGATCCTAAAGTTCTAGTTCACTAATTCCACGTGACTCAGACAGAACTAATGCCAAAAAGTACAGAATTAGAATGAGAAATTGGAAAGAAAAACAAATTAGTGTAATAATAACAAGGGAACATAGATAAGAAGGGAGAGGAGAAAGTATCAGCTATCAACCATACACCAATATGAGCTTAAAATTTCTTCAAATAAACTATGGATAAAGCATTGTGTTTTCCAGATTATCTATTCAGTAATGATTATCTTAAACAATGATGAATAAGTAAGGAACTGTATAGGTTGTAGAAAATACCCTATTAGCCACATACAAAGTAGAAAATGTTATCATAACTTACAATATCTGGCTTAGAGCACTTAAAACCATGAGCAAGAGCAGATATGTATAGTGCTGCACCACATAATCCACTGGGTTTCCTCCCGGTCTGTTTTCAAACATTAGCAATGCAATATTGTCACAATAATACAAGAGTTCACATACAAAATTAATGCTTTCTTTTATCCAAAACAGAAAACAAGTAATGAATTCCAATGCCAGATCAACATTAAGTTACCTGCATCCAGTCACGCTTCATGCTTGCAACAATGCTCAGTGCAGTATCAGAGACAAGCTTACTCCCTCCATGCTTTATCAAATCTACATGACATCAATCTAATTATTTTTTCTGGCTCAAAGAAAGACAATGAGATAGAAATTTTAAATAAAAAAGCAATCCTTAAACCAAACGTCCAAACGAGGTTTGAAATTCACGTCCATAAAGACTCATACTCATTTTAAAATATAAATTCTCTAATGTGATTCAATTTTTTTAATTTATGTTAATTTTATGGTGGTTGTCGTATTTTATGTTAATTTATATGTTATATTACAGTCATGTCACATCCTAGGATTTTCAAAACGTCTCCTATCCCCATGTTTGTATCCTATTTGTGTCTTGTGTCATATCTCTGATTCCTAAACCTTGACAACACAACATCAATAATTTTTTCAAGTGACAATCAGGGTCTTCAAAAGCAGTATCAATAAGATAAATTATAGTTCCAGTTTAATCATACTAACCACTAAACAGTCATATAATAGTGCTAAGAGATTAAAAGGCAACAAAAATCACTTTCTTTTGATGATATTGAAACACAGACAAGTTGCAAGAAATTAACTGTATTCTCCCTTTCTCCCCATTTAGTTTGCATGTCAACGTTGAATGATCATTAACAGTGAGTTCTCAATCATGGATCTGCACAGCACAGCCATGGCTGTGACTAATATAAAAATGTTTTATTTTCTGAAGAGTGAAAATTCATTCTAGTATTCTGCAAATAACCTATATCGCAATGCAATGAGATAATCCTATACACCAAACATTTTAGTTATCCACTTAAGCAAACTGAGGTAAAAAAATGAGACTTACTATTAGTATATTTATGAATAAAAAGACTAGGATCAATAGGCTTTTGAACAATTGGGTGCTCCCCAAGCCTTAACACTTCACAAAGCTGTAAGAAAACTGCTCCTAGCACGTAACTGCACAACAAAGTCAACAGGAACAAGTAACATTCAGTAAAATAAAAAAAAAGAGATACGTAAAAGTAACCCAAAATATGCAGAAATATTTCACACGTGTCAAGACTCCAGTAACAAAAAATATTGTCAATGGCAAATGGTGGGTCATGGCAGAAAACCTAAAAATTGCCATAAAATTATGGTGGATGCCATTGTGACCTATGATGAAGGCAGAAGCATGGCAGCCATAATAAAATAATATAATTTATATATACTATATTCAAAAATATAAAAAAAAAATGCAGAATGTAACTGTTAAATATGTGTAAATGTTAATCAGGAAAATTAGCATCTTTGTAATTATGATAATTAGATAATCATAAATTTTGTAATTATTTTGCAATCATTGTTGATATTATTATTATCAACATAAATATTCAACTCTTTGTTTAGTAAGACACATGGATTCCATCAATGTTATTTCATTTTCTTCTATCTTAACACGGTATCTAGAGCCTAGAGAAAAGGTAATCCTAAATCCATGCATATCTGGTGGGCCAAGTGCCTATTGGTGACTTTATAGTCTTCCCTCCACCCACGTCACTGTCCACTTTTTCCGGCAACCAAAAACACCATCAAGACCGCACCCTCAAGACTGACCTATCCCAAGAGACCCCATTGTGAACGAAGCCTGCATGCACCACCACTGCCCTGTGCATCTTTCTCTTTGCAGCCACCGTTGCCGTTGTGCCTGGCAGTGCATGTGGCCAATTCAGTCACCGCTTTGACTACCAGAATCACCTCTCTACTGACTCCAAATCTGCCCTCAGTTTTCACACCGACCCTCTTACAAGTTGTTTTTCTGTTTTTGTTGTTCTGCTGCAAGTTTCTCTCTCCCCATTTCATGGTTTCTCTCTCTTTGTTGTCACCCATGGCAAGTTCCGCTCCTCCCAAAGCCAATGCACCCATTTTCACCAACTATGTCACTCCCTCACTCTCTATAGAGAAGAAAGATGGCCACAACTATGATTCTTAAGCCTCTAACACCAAACTTTAGCTCAAGGGCCAAGGCTACAAGGACCACCTTACCACCAAGGATGAATTTGTTGCTACTGTTGACCGTAATAAATGGAGTATGATTGATGCCCATTTTACAATATTATCAAGTCCGCCATTCATCCTTTTCATGCAGTAGATTTTTGGTTCTCATGAGACTTGTGTGTCAGTTTGGGTGCAAGCTAAGAAACTCTATACAAATAACACTTAGCAATTTTATGGAGTTTGCTAAGATCTCATGGGGGTCATTGCTCCTCGCCATCTTGATGGGACAACGTCTAAATATTTGGAAAAAGTTAGTGGTGTTCTTCATGACTTTAATGAACTCTTGCCTCACACAGATACCCCTACATAGGAATTAAAGCAACATAAGACATTCTTTATGCTATTAGCCTTGTGTGGACTACTTACTAATTACTTTATGATTCAGGATCAGATTTTGGACTCTCTCACTATCCCCACTATGAATTCTATTTGGTCCACCTTACTCTGTGTACCACCTAAGTCTCTTGTTGATGCGAATGTAGCTCCTTGCCCTATTGATCCCTCTACTTTGATGTCTCAAAGTGGTGACTATGGCTGCTCCTGCAAATCAGATAAAGATCATCTCAAGTGTCGCCACTGACACATGCTTTGCTCTCCATGGTTGTCCTTGGACCCTTAACGTTGCACAAGCTGCTCCACTGTCTCTTTTTCAGACTGCCTCTTTGCCATTTGCTTCTCAAGCGCCTTCAACTATCCTTTTTGATTTCCTCAAATGGTACAAGAATCGTCAGTCCTCTAGTTCCACTACTTCTGATCCGCACATGGGTAATCTCCTAGTCCCTGGATTCTTGATTTTAGTGTCACTGATCATTTACATTGATAACAAATCTCTCTTTTCTTCTTTCTATACCTTTGGTTATTTAACTTTTACTACTATGGCCAACAGTTTTCAAACACAATCTTAGGGTATTGGTACTATTTCATCATTTTCCATCCTTACCTATTGATAATGTCTTAGATGTTATCCCTGGGTCTCCTTTAAATATTTTATACCTTAGTCATCTTACTAGTAGCTAGATTATGTTGTCTCTTTTCCTAAAAACTTTGTTTTCCAGCAAGACCAAAGTTCAAGGTAGATGATTGGTACAGGATGTGAATCACTTTAACAATATCACCTTCGCCTCACTATGCATACTAGTTTAATGGTGGATTATCCTCTCCTTCTACATGCTCAGTTGGGTCATCTAAAACTTCAAAAACTACAACAATTGGTACCGAGTCTTTCTAAGTTGTCTACCTTATTTAGTGAGTCATGTTGGTTAGGTAAACATTTTCGTATAAATAATCGAACCGCAGCTCCCTTTGGTTTAGTCTATTCAGATGTTTGGGATCCTAGTAGTACTATGTTTACTTTAAGTTTTTGGTATTTTGTTATGTATATTGATGATTATTCTCGTGGTTTTTAATGAAAAATCATTTTGAACTGTTTTCTATTTTTCAAACCTTTTACCATGAATAAAAGTTCAATTTGGCATTTTTATACACACTTTACATAGTAGTAATGCTAAGAGTACTTGTCTCATTCTTTTCAACAGTTTATGGCTTCCCACGGAATACTTTGTCAAACCTCTTGTACTCATACTCCTCAACAAAATAAGGTTGCCGAAAGGGAAAATAGGCATCTTATTGAAACTACTCGCACTTTTCTTCTACATGGTAATGTTATCAATGGCAGGTGGCAAGTCATGGCAGAAAACCAAAACACTGGCATAAAATTATAGTGGATGCCATGGTGACCTATGGCAGAGGCAGAAGCATAGCAACAATAATAAAATAATATAATCTCTAAATTCTATATACAAAAATATAAAAGAAAATGCAGAATGTACTTGTTAAATATGTGTAAATATGTTAATTAGGAAAATTAGTATCTTTTTAATTATGGTAATTAAGTAACTATGTATTCTGTAATTATTTTGTAATCATTGCTGATGTTATTATTATAATTATAAATATCCAGCCATTGTGCAGTTGAGACACATAGATTCCACAATGCTCTTATGTTTTCATCTCTTTTAACAGTAATAAAAAACAAACAAACTATAACATAAGTCAAATCAAGAAACCTAATTGATAGACAACCATCAAATGTCTAATAATAACAAGATAGCATAAGTCCAAATAACATAGTAACATAAATTCAATAAAAAATAAAAAGCCATCAATGATCAAGTGATAGGGAATGGAGGAGGAAAATTAAGACAAACTAAGGAAATCTCAGAGTGAGAGGAGACAGAAAGCTGAAACAAAAAGCTGAATGAAAAACAGAATGGAGGAGGGATGCAGAAAAGGAAGATGAAAAACATAATGCAGGAGGAAAAAACCAAAAATTCCATTCACTAGAAAATGGGTCTCGCCAGAGATGGTGACTAGAAGTGGTGAAGGTAAGAGAGGGAGAAGAGAAGCTACAATGAGAAAGCAACAGCAAGTACACACCTGCAGGCTCAAAGATGGCAGTTTTAGGGTTTTAAGCTATTGGGTCACATTGGACCAGGTTGGATCAGAAGATTAGTTCCTTTCTCTTTCTTGCAGAGCAATTTCTAAAAATTTCTGCCATGGCAGCCATAACCACCATGGAAATAATGGCCTTCCATTCAAAATCCATCATGACATGCCATATGTATGACAGTTTGTCAAAAAACTGCCACCGTTTTCTGCCAGTGTCACCATTTGACAACACTAAACAAAATAAAAGCATACTTACACGTTTGTCCTTAAATAATTTGAAAAATCAATAAGAAGGTATGGCTTATTGTTGTGCCTGCAAGGGAAAAAAATTGTTTTAAGCACAAAAAAATAAAATACAAAGAATATAGATAATATACAATCAGAATCATATGAAAAGTCAAAGGAAGAAAGACATGTTGCATTGAATTCATATTGCTCTTCAACCACAAGCATACACAGACTATAATAGTTCCTATTTCTATCCTTCACAGGTTTAAAGACCCACCTCTCTTCTCTAGAACAAAGATGTGTTAGACTAAAGAGCTTAATTAAACACTTATTCGACAAGCTCTAATCACATATATTTCATAAATTTGACCATGAAACTTTTTAGCATAAGCTAAAAAAACTTATTCTAATAAGCTTTACCAAGCAACTTATTGAAATAAGTTAAAAAGAACTTAGAGGGGTCGTAAACCATTTTCATAAAGCCAAATAAGCCCAGTAAGAGCTCTTCCAAATGCTCCCTAAAACAGTAAAGTATCCTCTAGTTTTATCTATATGTCAAATGGTTTCAGAATTTTGAACAACAGTTTCCCTACCTCAGTTGGAAATTCACCCATAACTTGGATCCAAAGCTCAAAAATTCATTCAAGATCAACAAATGAACTAAACTATGTTTGATTTTCATGTTCCAACTTCTATGTCATCTATATGTGCACACATCCTAATTTATGTCTAATCTAATGAATCAAGAAAAATAAAATATGTAAGCACAATATAATAGATGGATTAAGTCTACCGCAAAAAATACACTAATAACTTATATACAGTTCCACACAAATACACAGCTTTGCACCTGCAGGCTAGCCAATCATTACTAACAGACAGGCATGCTTAATATTTTAAGTAAGCAAATGACAAAAGAAGATGTTTATTATCTATTCAAGAAACAATAAATTTGGTTTAGGGTTCATATAAAGAATATATTATTATCTGAACAGCTTTAAACATGAGATCCTCAAAATTTTCACATCACGCAGTTACTCATGGGAACAATAAAATGATAAATGTATGAAGATTCATGCAAAACCAATGCCAAAGAGAACTCATACCGGAATGCAATATAGAGACAAGCAGCCTGTACTTGCTCTGATTTACGTCCACGGGTGAAATTTCGGTCAAGCGCTATCTTCAATAAGGAAACTCAAGGATTAATTAAATCAAACAAATCATTCTCACAAATTTATAAATAAAAGAAAGCAAATTTAAAGTGCACAAAGTTGAAAACAATGACATACTTTATAAAAAGTCAAAGCTTGGTCGGCCATACTTTCGTCATTCACTCCAAGGCCAAAACTTATATATTTCATTTCATCATAAGCTGTGAACCCAAAGAAAACTGGCAGATAAGAATATAAAAAAAAAAAAAACTAAATATATGAAATTATTTATGGTAAGGCCAGCCTCCTGCACACTATCACGAATTGATTGCATTGGCTGTTGTGAGCATAATTTAAAATACTTTATTTTCTTTGTCTTAACGTAAAGTAGAATAAATATCAAACATCGTAACATATTATTGGACCACGACTTTGAAATGAATAAGGAATGACCAGAAGAAAATTGCAGAAATTGACAGATTTATAACTAACACGGTAAAAATCCAATAATTCCCAAACATGAGGTGAGGTATCTTATGCTAAACGAGAAAAACAATTAATATTAGGGTTTTGTTAACCTCAGCCCTAAGCATCCACAAATAGAAAATTTTTATGAAAAAAATACACGATTATTGTATTGAAATTATAAAAATACAATAAATATTTCTCTTTCTAATAAAATTTTATTATTATTAGTCGCTTATTCTCAGTCCTACGTGCTGACATTAACTAAACCCTTAATATTAAACAACAAAATATTTTGGAAACAATCACGTCAGTTACATCCAGAGTGTGGAATCAGTAACGAGACCCAAGAAAGACATACCTCTATCTAAAGTCCTTTGACGTGCAGCAGAGAACTCATGTTGAACTGTTCTTACATAATTGCCCGCTAATTTACTCTACAAGACACAAATAAGAAAAGTAGAAAACCATATTAGAAGCCAAAGAATTGTTAACAAAAACAAAGTATAGACCATAAAGCATAAAAATTCCCAACAAAAACACTATTAAACTTGTCTTTCTCACAAGTCACGAATATCCCAGAAACCTCAGTTTAACCACCAGACCCAGTAATGTCCTCTACATTGTTCCCATTGACAAAAGAAGCACATAGGACTATAGGAGCATGACAGTGTCATTGTTCAGCGAGAGAAAAGAAGATAATATGCTGCCTGCAAATACAGGACCCCCACAATGGGTTCCATCTATTCTCCCTTTCTCTCATGAATCACACTCACAATCAAACTTAAACCACAAATAATCCATAATCACCATCAATCCATGGTAGAAGTAGCTCAAGTTTATCTCGCATCTCATTCATATCACGAAATCGCCATTTTTATGTTCAAGTTTTAAACCTTAAAGTCCTCTACCCCCAAAACACCACCCTAGCCAGCTTGACAAACTTCATCCATTACCTGTCCTGCGGCATTCTTAACAAAGGAGGGCTCCTCAGCAAAATAGAAATCTTCCAACACCCTCCCACAGCTTCCACAACATCTGAAAACCAAAAATAAATAAAAAATATTTCTTAATTATCGTCGGAGGTTTTCTCTACACAATCCAATAACCATAACTAAACATATAAGCAGTCCCAAATTTAATTCAATTTGCATAACACAGTGCACACAACTAATTAAAACAAAACAAGAGAAGAAAAAGTGTAGTTCCGTGAATTACTGTGCAAGCACGAAGGATACTCACAAGTAACCGTCATCGATTCGCTCGCCGGCGACGTTTTTGGCACAGTGACCGCAGTACACCATTGTGCTAGAAAACGACTCTGAAGATTCTCAGTGAGATGGAGGCATCGGAAACGGGCGCAGAATTCAAAGTGGAACAAGAGGGAGTTGAAATTATTGAGGAAATTGAGGGACTTGAATTCAGTTAGGGTTTATGATTTGGGAGAAGAGGAAGTTAAAATTTAAAACTCTCGAATAAATAAATTAATATTAAAATTTAAAGAATTAAAATAATAAAATAATAAAATTGTATTATCCAGAGCACCAAAATCTACTACCAATAACAGTTTGGAATGAACAGGAGATTTCAAGCAATATGAAGGATCTGTTTCGGGTTAATTAGATTTTGTATTCACAGTCCTTAAGATATGTGTGCGAGACACGGAGATTCTTTTGGAGGTGAACAAAAGAGTGATCCTTATTGTTGTAATTTTGGATTAAAACAATTATATTATTTATGAGGATAAATATATAATATTGAATTTATATTGATATATTAATTTATATATTTAATTTCAAATTATTAATTTAAAATAAATATATTTAAATTATTGTTTTAACTTTATTTTGAAACAACTTTTACAAAAAAAAGTGTTTACTTTAAAAATTTAGAAAAAAAAGTTATCAAGATTTAGAAAGTTTTTAACTTTTAAAAATAATCAAATTCAAATTATTATAAATATTTAAAATTAAAATAGTATAAATTTTTAATCTTATTTAAATATAATAAGAAAACATAAATTTTAATTAATTTAAAAATTAACTCTTACAAAATTACACCAAATTTAAATAATTGACATTCATAAAATATTAAAAATAAAATATATATTATATTTTTTTTAATATTGTAAATGTAATATGTTATTACCAAGTCACGTTACATTTATATGCATTTATGTGCATGAAACATATTTTAAAAAAGCATTGATCTCTATTTTAGGTATGAAAATTGAACATAAATTTTAGATTTTAATATTTTAAATTATTTATTTTATTTTTATCATTTTTAAAGTAGTTATTATTATTATTATTATTATTATTATTATTATTATTATTATTATTACCAATGCTTTCAATCTTTCAAGAATATAGATAAATTGATTTACATTAAAATTATATTATATTATTTATAAATCAATTACATAAAATAGATTTTAAAATGTATTAATTTCAATTTTATCAAAATTAATTTAATATTTATAGCCAATATCTATTTTTTAACCAAATTTAATATTTAATTACCCATCTCAACTCAATTAAAAAATAAGATATATATATATATATATATATATATATATATATATAATATTCAATAGACATTTTAGAAATTAAAAAAATTAATATATCAACTTAAATTATGTATATATGTAAAGGTCATTTAAATGAACTTATAAAAGCTTATTTAAATTTATAATATAAATTTTTAACACTATGTGATAATTTTTTTTCTTTATATTTTTATCATTGTATTATTATTTTTATTCTTATTACAACATTACAATAAAAAATTATTAAATATTTTTAATTTTTATATTAATATTTTAAATTTTTATCAATCGTTTAGTGAGCGTAAGAGTAAAAACTCATAAGAATTAGATAATTTTTTATTATATTTTTATTTATACTTTATATCGTCTTTAATATTTTATAAAATTGATTATTTTAAAAATATATGATTTCAATAATTTTATTAAAAAATTATATGAATATTTTTAATAAAAATTATTTTTGAAAATTATATGATTTATAAGTTATAAATTAAATTGTTTGTTGATTTGCACTCATATAATTTTTTTAGTGAATTTTTATTCCTTCTAAGTTTTTATACGTAAATTAATTTTTTGTAATTTATTTTTAAGGTAAGTTTTGATTTCATGATTAATGTTTTTTTATTTATTATAATCATTTAACTTTTAAAAAATATTTTAATTTTATTTTTTATTAAAAGTTTTTTTACAATTGCTATTATTTATTATTTTTTTCAAATCTTTGATATGTATTCTCTCTCATTCATCTACTTCTTTTTATTCTCCATTTCTTTTTATGCCACTACTATTCAGAGAGAGAGACAATATTGTTGTCAGTAACTTTCTTTCTTTACTCATTAAACTTGCCCAAATGCTCTAATTTTACAGTCATTGTAACTAATTAAAAGATTTAGTCACATCTCTTTCAAGAAGACTCATTACAAGGCATTGATAATGACATCTTTTCCATTGTGTGTGGTTTGAAGAAGAAACGAAGGAGGAAGAGGTGGAAAAGAATGCACACTAGAAATCTAAGGAAGACAATATACAAATAAACAGTATATATAGTAAAAAAATATTTTTTAACATAATTAATATTTCTAATAAAAATGACATAATTGCAATATTTATAAAAAGTTAGATAACAAAACTTACCTTAACAATAGAAGATAAAAATATTAATTTTACCTAAACCAGCATGCATTTACTATTCCATGCACAGTGAGAATCAAATGATAAGCACATACTATATCGAGTTAAAGATCTTATGGAAAGAATTGGAGGCATTCAACATATCCCTTCATGTAATAGTACTATCAAGTGTTCATGTGATCTCACAAAATTGGTCAAAAGGTACAAATACTCTACATATGTAATTTGTTTTTTCGAGAGGCTCAATGAAATAATGTTAAAAAGCCAAAACTTGATCATGGCCCATTACGTTCTATGACCAAGACTTTTTCTTCAATCTTTCACCAAGAAAGACAACTTGGATTTACTTATGGTCAAATCCTAAAATTTTAGTAAGTATTACAAACTTTAACATTAATTGAAAATCTCCTTTTGAAGGTAGAAATTTCAATTTTAGTAATAGAGATAGAAGTAAGAAGAATGATTGTTGCCAAAATTCCAACAAAGTTGCACTTTTTGTGGCAAAGATGGACACATGGTGGAGGCTTGCTATTTCATGATATCCTCTATCATGCCTCATGTGTTGAATTTCTTCAACAAAACTTTATGGTCGAGTAGAAACATAGACATATCCTTGGTGTTACTAGAACCATGTTCTTTCACTTTAACATGCTAAATCTTCTAGTGCTATGTTGTTTATTTATTACATTCACTTAGTAAAGAAACTTTCAACTATTATTTTGGAAAATAAAACTTACTTTGAAAATTTGCATAATGTTTCCCCTATCATTGGATAATTTAAAATATTTCGACTGTCTTTATTATCCGAGAACTTTATCTAATAACATATTGAAGCATCAACTAAGAGCCGAAAAGTGTGTTTTATTGGTTTTAAAAATAGAATAAAAGGGTACAATCTTCTTGATTTACATGCTAGAGAAATTTTTATTTCTAGAAATGTTATTTTGTATGAAAATTATTTTCCCTTTCATACTCAACATAGTCCCTATAACAATCAAGTAGATCAACATTATTAAAATCTTTTTCACTTTCTACTATGTAATGATCATCGCACATTTGTTGCTTTTCAAATAAAACCAACACTTGTTACTATTGACCAAATCATTTTGCATGATCCTTATTCTGATAGTATTACACCCTCGTTACCTCAACTTAGAAGATCTAGTAGAATTAAGGTATCTCCTACTTACTTATCTAACTATCATTGTAATTTGCTCACATATGTTATTCTTTAACTTATTCTTAACACTAGGTATTTCTTTTAATATATTCTTTCTTATATCATTTATCTGCATCTTACCTTCACTTTGTTTTATTCATTACTCTTCATACTGAACTCAAAACTTACCATCAAGTTATTTAATTAGATTACTGGAATAAAGTTATGAATAATGAATTTGTTGCTTTACAATAAAACAACACTTGGACCATTACTAAATTACCACTAGGTAAGGATCCCATTAAATTAGAATGTGTTTATAAAATCAAATACTAATTTAATGGTAGTATAGAGAGGTATAAGACTAGGTTAATTGTCAAAAGATACACTCAAAAAGAAGGTCTAAACTATTTTGACACTTTTGCTCACTTGCCCAAGTGAACTACTATAAGGTCACTTGCCTACCTAAAATCGGATCTTGCACTGATAGGACATAAATAACTCCTTCTTTCATGGTGAGATAGCTGAAGAAGTCTATATGAAAATGCTTAAAGGCATTTAATGCTTCAATCCTAATTGGATATGTAAATTACACAAATTTCTTTATGATTTGAAGCAAGAAAGAAGATAATAGTTTGCACAATTATTTTCTTTCGGTAAGTACCTTGGTTACACACGCTCTTATATTGATAATTCTTTTTTTACCAAACATTCAAATAGTTTTTTAGTTGCCTATTAATTTATGTTGATGATCTCATCTTAGTTAGTATAATACTCTTGAAATTGCTTATATTAAAAATCACATCATCAATTCAAAATTAAGAATTTAGGTGATTTGAAATATTTTCTTGGTTTGGAGATAGTCAGGTCTAGATTGGGCTAGCTATTACTACTGTGAGCATATGTTGGACTTACTCTTTTATATAAGTCTTCTTGTTGCTAAACCTACACCAAGTCTTATAACTAAGATAACTAATATTCACTTATAGGATGACACTCCTTATGTTGTTGTCACTAATTATCCAAGACTCAATAAAAAATTGCTATATCTTACCACTTTTCTCAATATTAGTTTTGCTATTAATATTTGTACTAATTGTCTCTCATAAAAAAAACTACTACTTATCTTCATTTTTTAGACCCATACTTTTGTTCTTTTTTTTTTATAATTACATAGAAATTTATTTCTCTCTTTCACATTATTTTCTTCAAAGTAGTAGGATTTGATACGGGGAAGACATATTACCATTTCATATGTTATTTTTCTTCCCCTACTTTTAAGTATTTAGTTTTAAGATTCGAATTGATAAAAGCCTAACATGTGATTATTATCATATCTAACTTTTGATAAAAGAAAATACTTTTTTTTCATATCTATAAGATTTATTCTTATTTAATGAGATAGATGTTGTAATTACATAGTCTCTTGTCTTGCCTATTTTTTAAGACTTTTATTTGTAGTAGTATCATTTTTGTCAACTTTATTGATAAATGGTTAATTTTTTATTGTGTTTTAATTTTTATTTTTATTCAATTTTAGATTGAATAATGAAACCAATGAACATTATTTACAAATATAAAGAAGATGCATTTCTTTTTAAGAATATTTTGTTATTATTATTTTTGTTGGTGAATTTGATTGAATAGTGGGAGAGTACTATATATAATGATAAAATTTGTAATTTCTTTAAGCCTATTTCTATCGAATCCTTACCAAACAACTATCTGTATTTACAAAATTAATTCTTATGTGAAATCAACATATTAAAGAAAAGGATACAATTACTTTGTTGTAGGTTCACAATTTTATCAATTACATTTTTCACCCCATTGTTGCTTTTGGAACTAATATATTATGTAAGGGTATACTTATAATAATTTAATATTAGTTGCATATCAAATGTTATTGATAAGTGTCAATTAGTAGTAATTTTTGGTATATAATTTGGCACTCATTTGATTCCTTTCTAATTTGTTTATGCTTGAATTTCCTTTTAATTCAATGCATTCATATCCCATGCCAATTGAAGTTTAGCCACTTAAATTTAGTAACTATTTGTCTTAAATTTATGATGATATGAAGATTTTTTATCCTTTGTTATTGTGCTAAATAATCAGGGGTAAGGCTTGGTGAAATGAAGATGGAAAGAGGGAGAAGCAAAGTCCTCATAACCAATAAATCTCGCCTGGGCAAACTCTAGGTCGCCTGAGCGAGGTGTGGGGCGCTTGAGCGAGGACGTCGAGCTACAGGACCTTCATTTTGCCGCATTCTCACTCAAGCGAGATACCATTGCTTGAGCGAGAGTCTCGCCTGAGTGGCCTAAGGTCTCGCCTAGGCGACATTAATTGGAACTAGAGGGTGCTTCTGTGTAGTTCTCGCTTGAGTGAAAAAATACTCGTTCAAGCGAGAATTCATTAAATGCCCCAAATTAAACGAGCCTAAGCACCGGGAAAAGGATCATCCATGATTTGGAAGAATTGTGGAGAACCTAGGGCAAGAAAAGAAGCGTGGAAGAGTAACTACACCATTCTAGAACTAATTTTTATGCTTTTTCCATGTATTTTCTTTTTATTTGGTACATTATGAGTGGCTAAAACTTCATAGGAGATTGGATGTAATATTAACTTTCTGAGTATTTTAGTTCATTAATATAGTTGTTCATTTACCATGTGTTAGGTGTGTTTATTTTGATATTAATGCTTGCTTCTATCCTACGGAGAATGATTCATGATTCGAGAATCTTAGGTGAGTTGGGAAACTACTTCGAAACTCAGTTGGGGTAAACACACGCAATAGGTTGGAATTCTAGGAATAGGTTTTAATCTGTTGTATGCTATATAACTCTTATTAGTAATGTTGGATTATTTATTGTTTGGATAAGGGATTATTATTCAATAAATATATCTTAGAATCTTGGGTGAGGGAAATCCAACGGGTGAATATAATGGGGAATGCATCGTAAGATCGTGGTAATTATGCAATTATATTATGACTAAAATACAAAGTTAGTGATAGATGAAATCCAATCCCTGCTTTTCATTATCATAGTAAATTTATATTTTGTTATCTTGCTAAATTTTCATGAATCCAATTAATCAAAAACACATAAATGGTAGTTGTAAATTTGTGAATACTTAGGATTATTACTTTTAATTAGGATAACTAAAATTACTTGTGTATCACCACTCCCTGTGAATATGATAATCTTTTATATCACATTGAAACTTGGTATACTTGCCTAAATCTCTTAACAAGTTTCTGGCGCCGTTGCCGAAGAGTGTGCTAAATACTTAATAATTTTTGTTTTATCCTTGTCAAAAATTTATTCAATTACTTTTTATATAGATATTGTTTGTTTACTTAATTATCCATGTGCTTATTTTCTTGTGAAGTGTTTGTTCTTGTATGCGAGGTCATAACTCGGTTGAACCCTTTGTTTTTTATCTAGAAATAGAGAGATCAATTAGTAAAAAGAGACGTGCAGCAAGGAAAAGAAGGCAACAAGGAAAAGAGTAAGAGGGACCTTCTCAACCTCAACTTGAATCTCAATCTGATCAACCACCTTCTAACCAGTCAAAAATGGGAGAACAAGGAGCTAATCCGCCAAGGAGAACCCTTGGTGACTATGCGGTCCAGCATGAACCAAGGCACTTTTCTAGCATAGGGGTTCCCACCATTAGGTTAATAGAGATGAAGCCAACATTCCTTAGTCTTGTGGGTGCCAATCCATTTTCAGAACTTGAATATAAAGATCCGCACACTCACCTTTCTAGATTTTATAAGTTGTGTGGTACATTGGGCATCCCTCGAGGAAGTGAAGAAGCTACATACTTGAGACTTTTCCCTTTCTCTTTCGTGAGAAAAGCAAAGGCATGGCTGCAATCACACCCAAACTAGAGCCTCACCAGCTGGAATGATGTGGAGGAAAAATTCTTGAATAGATTCTTTCCACCATCTTGGTTTATCACTGCTAAATTCGACATTCAATATTTTGACAAGGGGCTGATAAATCTTTTTGTGAAGCTTAAGAGCGTTTTAAATCCTTGCTAAGGAAATGCCCTAATCATAGGTTTGATGATGTTGCCCAACTTAATATATTTTGCAATGGCTTAAGGCCTGACACCAAAATAATCATAAATGCTGCAGTTGGAGGTACAATAATGTCAGCTGATGTTGAACAAGCTACAAGAATCATTGAAATTTTTGCCTCCACTGACTATCAAGCTCAACATCATATGCAGCCAGTCCAAAGAAAAGGAGTTCTAGAGCTGAATACCACAAATGCATTATTAGCTCAGAATAAAATCTTGATTCAGCAAATTGAGGCTCTCACCAAGCAAATATCTAGTTTGCCTCAACAATTGCATGTTGTATCCTCACAACTTGTTTAGCAAGCACAACCTCTTATGTGTGATTTTTGTGGAGGTGACTACCCTAATGGTCATTGCTCTTATTCTCTGAGGAAGTGTAGTACATGAGCAATCAACAACGACCTACCAACTTCTCAAACAACTCTTATAGCAATAATCAAAATTGGAGAAGCAATCAAGGCCAAAACCAAGGATGGAGGCAAGAAGCTGGGCCATTAAATAGGCAACCCCCATTTCAACAGCAGCACCAATATTCATCACTTTATGAAAGGCAGTTGAAGTTGGAGGAAACTCTGGAAAAATTCATGCAAGTTTTCTTGGTAAATCAAAAGAACACCGAAGCCTCAATAAGGAATTTGGAAACATATGTGGGCCAATTAGCTAAACAGCTTTCAGACCAACAAGCAGACCATTTTTCAGCCAACACTCAGATCAATCCGAAAGAGCATTGTAATGCAATAATCATAGGGAGTGGTAAGGTCTTGAGTGGTGGAATGGGAGTTAGTTCAAAGGTGGTGGAAGGAAAGGAAGAAAATGAGAAAGATAGTGAGGGAGAAAAGAGATTGAGTAAAAATGAAGAAAAAATTGATGACAAAGAAAAAGAGTCAGAGGAAGTAGGAGAAAAGAAAAAAGGGGAGAGAGGCAAAGAAAAAATGTCTCCAATGAAGAGATTACCATGCCCCCTGGCTTCTTCTAAAAAAGATAAGGAAAGGTAGTTTACGAAGTTTATGGACATATGTAGCAAACTTCAAATCAACCTACCCTTTATGGAGGCTTTAGAACAAATGCCCCAATATGCCAAATTTATGAAGGACCTCCTCACCAAAAAGAGAAGGTTTCGGGATGAAGAGACATTTGAATTGGAAGCTGGATGCAATGCCATCATTCAGAAACCTTTGCCAAGAAAGTCTAAGAATCCTGGAAGTTTCACCATTCCAATCTCAATTGGAGAGATATATGTTAGTAAAGCCCTATTGGACTTGGGGACTAGTGTGAATTTAATACCCTTGTCATTTTGAAAAAGCTGGGAAAGATTGAAGTCAAGTTGACAAGGATAACCTTACAACTAGCAGATAGATCTATTAAGTATCTCTATGGGGTGGCTGAAGATGTGCTTGTAAAAGTAGACAGTTTTTTCTTCCTTGTTGATTTTGTGGTGATGGACATAAAGGAAGACACAAAAGCCCCTCTCATTCTGGGCAGACAATTTATGAAATCTGTCAAAGTTGTCATAGATGTGGAACATGGAACATTAAAGATCGAAGCTCAAGATGAAGAGGTTAAATTTGAAGTATTTCCATCCACTCAGCAGCCCAATATCACCACTCATTGCATGAGAGTGGACATAGTGAAAGAGTTACCCCCCACACTTGCAGAGCCAATCCCCAAGCTCAATACTCAACAAGAGTTGCAACTTAATATTGTTTAGTTTGAAAGTAGAAATGGGAAGAAAAATGATGAAAATTCTCTAAAGAGTGTGAATTTCTGGACAAGAAACCAGAAAATCCTTCAAGGGTCAAATAGAACAAGCAAGGCTGAAAGACTCAAAACAACCTTGAAGAAGATGTTTGAAGCAGGTCAACCAACCTTTTTATTAATTTTTAGGACGAGACTTTCCCCTGGAAAGTTAAAAGCAAAATGGTCTGGACCCTTCACTATAAAAGAAGTCAAATCACAAGGGGTAGTGGAGCTAAAGGACCCAAGGACTCAAAGAAGTTAGAAAGTCAATTGGCATAGGGTGAAGTTCATGGTTAGCGGCTCAGAAGGGAGATCCAACAACCCTATCAATTTGAACAACACTTGAATTTAAGGCATTGAGCTTATCCGATGTTAAAAAGCTTTGTTGGGAGGAAACTTAGAAGTTTAATTTTAGCATTCACTTTTCATGTTTAAAGTCCCTTTTGAATTAGTTAAATTGTCTTTGTGTATTAATTTGTTAAGTTGTTTTGAACGGAGGTGAATATATGTGTTGGATACTTTGAACCTTGTTGAATAGTGATTTGGGGTATTAAAGTAAAGTGAATTGGAGAAGTATACTTTAAATGAAGTTTAGAGAGAGAGTGAAACACATAGTTGAAACGATTGTGAGAGCTGCCCCTAGCCTGCCTCACTTAGGCGAAACCTATTTCGCTCAGGTGAAATCTGAAAAATTTTGAAGCATGCTCTATGGATCACCCAAGCGAGAACTCGTAGGGGTGCTCTCTAGAAGCTAGGTTGCTCAAGTGAGACCTAGATAGCTCAGGTGAGATATGCAGAACTTTTGCAAAAATTTCTTTTTGATAAGCTCACCCAAGTGAGGGTATTACCGCTCAGGCGAGAGTGACTCTCACTCAAGCGAGAACTCACAGGGTTGCTCTTTGGACACTTGGTCGCCTAGGCAAGAGTGACTTGCCTGAGCGAGACCCTGCGAGTTCAGTTTTTAAAAATTAAAAAGAGGGGCAACCTAAATCTAAAAGAACCCAAATCCCTTGTGCGTTAATCATCCTCAAGTAATTTTGAGTCTTTCTCTCTCATTTTTGCACTCTAATTTCACTTTACTCTCATCTCCAATTTGTAAATCTCACAAGATAAGTTCTTAAATTCAGAAATTTGCATACTTTCACCGAAATTCCCATTTTAATGTTGTTTACTAGTTTTATCTTATTGTTTAGTGTTAACTTAGCGTTCCTAGTATATTGTGATGCTCTGAATCTGTGATTGTAAAATTCTAAATACTGCCAAGGAATGTGGACTGAACTAGGGTTAGTATACCAGGTGCTTGAAGAAATTTCCCTAGGACAGTGTTTGATTTTTTCTAAGTTGTTGGGTTGAATTATGCTGAAGTGTTAAGTTACCTGTTTGGGATAAGCTGGAAAAAGTGATTGATTCTCATTAAATTATTAATGAATGGTGATTGGGTGCACTCTAAGTGTTTGATAAAATGCCTGAACAATTTCTTTTAGAATTTTAGGATGGTGAGAACTAAACAAACGGCTGAAGTCAATCCTAGACCCAAAACAAAGAAGCAAAAGATGGGACCAAGCATTTTTGAACCAAGCTTTGACAAGGAGAGGTTCAGGGACAATGTGAGAGCTGAGAGATATGAACTTATTAAGCATTGGACCTTCATTGAAGAGAGAAGAGTACAACTTTACCCAGGAGAATACCCAAAATTTTGTGATGAAATTGATCAAAAAAGATGGAGACCAATTGCAGAACCAATGCTCAAATTTGATCTAGAAGTGGTGCGGGAATTTTATGCCAATGCATACCCTACTGAGTTAGGGAGAACACCAGAGTCTTTGGAACCCTCTAGTCCTTGGAGAAGGAGAGCTAGACACTTACTATAGGTTGAAGAGGACTACCCAAGGTTTTGATGATGACACAGTAGCTAACCTCATTTGCCTCCCTAACCACACTTATCAGAGTGCTAGGGATGGGAGACCCATTCACATTCATCGAAGGGATATGACCATAATATTCCATATTTGGACAGTGTTCATGTTGGCCAACATCCTCCTGAAGAGGCATGTATCAATCTAAACATGCCAAAATGTCATCTTCTTTATTGTATACTAGCTGGGTTGACAGTAGATGTTGCTACAGTAATTTTAGAAGACATCAATCAGTTTGTTTACATGATGCCAAATTCGGATAACTCGAAGAGGGCCCTGGGGTACCCCACTCTTATCACAGCTCTCTGCCGAAGCCAAGGGGTGGAGGTTAATCCTTCCAAGAGCATCAGGCCACCTATAGATAGACGATTTATTAAGAAGAACTGCACTACTAATGAGGCAGCAAAACTTGAGGTACTCCACCATCACCCCCTCCACCGGCAGCTCAGCCACCACAGCAGGAGGATGCAGTTACACATGACCAGCATGCTCTTTACATGGCTCACTTCCATCACTTGCATGAGCAGCAGGCTGCTAACCATAGGGCCAGTTGTAGTTACAGTCTGACTTATATTGGATAGTCTCTCACCTCATTCCCTCAGAGACCAGCTCCTTCAACACTCCAGAGCAATTTGCAGCTTTGATTGTTTGGCCTGGGGACAAACCTATTCTTCAATGGGAAGTAGCAGCCACAGAGCACACAAAGGAAGAAGATGATCAGTCTGCAAAGGAAGTTGGAGCTGAGGATGACACTATAGAGGTTGACACCAGAGAGGAAGTGCAACAGGTGGAGAGAGACTTGCAGGGAGTCATAGACAAAATAGTGGGAGACCTTTGATGCACTATCACAGACATTGAGTTTCACTAGTTTATGTTTCAGTTTTATTTAATTTCAGTATTACAAAATTAGTAGTGTTTATTTGTAGTTCTTTACACTTTATGAAAGACAACTTTTGGATTTTTCTTTTAGTTTAATTCTATTTTGAAAGAGTACAATGGGTAAATATTTTTAGAGAATATTATGGATAAAAAGAAATATACCTCGTATAGTTTGAAACACAAATTTTTTGTGCAGTTTTTACCAAATTTTTGTGAACTTACACTTAAATTGAAGAAGTCAATGCTTAATGTTTGGTTATAAGAATGAAATGGTTCATTGAGAGTCCAAATTGTAAAATATGTGAGTGAACTCAACATGTGATAGACAGTGCTTTGCATAAATTAATTCTAAACTATGTGATTGGAATAGTGAATTGACTTGAAAAAGGGAGTTAGCCTTCACTTGGTGAGTAATGTGCATCCTACGCAGTTAATTGAGTGCCATTGCTTTTGAATTGTAGTTATTATTGCTTGAATCTCTGTTCATCATTTTATAGACAAAATTTTGAAATGATCAAGGCCATTTTTGTGAATCAAGCCACGGCCAAATAGACAACCTTTTTGTTAAATTACCACTTGCCTATTTGAGCCTAAAAGAGAATGTCATATTTTTTTGAAAAACCTTCCAGCACTTTAAAAGAAAATTTTCTCATTCCCTTTTATTCAAAATGCAAAGAAGCATACTCAAAGGCTTAGGAAAATTGATCTAAAGGAGAAATCAGTAATGTATAGATTATTCCTTTCCTTAGTCAAAGTGAAAATAGCATAGCAAAATAAAATTGCTAAAAGAAAGGAGAGAAAGAACAAAGGAGAAAAAGAAAAATGAAGGCTTTAAGCTAGAAAAAAGAAAAAACTTGTTTGAAGAAATTGTTGGGATTAGATGAGTTAAAGGAAATTTATAGCACAAGCTTTAAGCTATTGGGTACTTTCTTCATGATTTGAATGACTTCTTGTTATTCATAAAAACCAAGTTCCTTTTTAGCCCAACCTCATTACAAGCCTAAAAAGACCTTTGTGATCTTAAAATTGCCTTGATGATGATGACTATTGAGATGAATAGCAATCATGGTTTACTTGGTAAGTTGTGATTGGATGAGTGATATACTTAACCTTGCTGAGATTCTAAGGAGTGAAATCTTCCTAGCCATAGTCACTGAACTATTCCTTGCACTTGCTTGAAAATACTAATTGCATTAGCATTTTGTTTATTACATTTGTGGGCACAACTGAAAATGTTTTAGGATTGATCACGTAAGTTGTTTGATCATGATAAACAAACTTGGCATTTGAGATTCTGTCAATTAAATCCTTCTTTGAAAGAAATTTTTTATTAAATCTTTTACTATTCAAAGATGTGAATACCTTGCTTGAGGACAAGCAAGAGTCTAGGTTTGGGGGAGTTGATAATTGCCAATTAGTAGTAATTTTTGGTATATAATTTGGCACTCATTTGATTCCTTTATAGTTTATTTATGCTTGAATTCCCTTTTAATTCAATTTATTTATATCCCATGCCAATTGATGTTTAGCCACTTAAATTCAGTAACTATTTGTCTTAAATTTATGATGACTATATAAAGGTATTTGATCCTTTATTATTGTGCTAAATAATCAGGGGCAAGGCTTGGTGAAATGAAGATGGAAAGAGTGAAAAGCAAAGTCCTCATAACCAGCAAATCTCGCCTAGGCAAATTCTGGGTCACCTGAGCGAGGACATTGAGCTGCAGGACCTACATTTTGCTACATTCTCACTCAAGCGAGATAACCATTGCTTAAGCGAGAGTCTCGCCTGAGCAACCTAAGATCTTGCTTGGGCGACATTAATTGGAACTGGAGGGCGCTTCTGTTAGTTCTTGCTTGAGCGAGAAAATCCTCGCTCAAGCGAGAATTCATTAAATGCCCCAAATTAAAAGAGCCCAAGCACTAGAAAAAGGATCATTCATGATTTGGAAGAATTATGGAGAACCTAGGGCAAGAAGAGAAGCGTGGAAGAGTAACTACACCATTAGAGAACTAATTTTTATTCTTTTTCCATGTATTTTCTTGTTGTTTGGTAAAATATGAGTGGCAAGAACTTCGTAGGAGATTGGATGTAATCTTAACTTTCTGAGTATTTTAGTTCATTAATATAGTTGTTCATTTACCATGTGTTGGGTGTGTTTATTTTGATATTAAT